GAAAGTCATGTAACTTTGATTTCTTAAACCGTTAAAAACTTTAAGTTTGGAGGGAAGGAAGGGAAAACGAGTAGGCCTAAATATGCCTACTCGGTGGTGCCACATTCTTTATACACTCTTAATCTGCAAGACTTGCCAGCCTACTCCCAACTAGTCACTCTATACCCACAGCGGGTGTAGGATGACTTATCCTATGACGAGGCTTGTGCAGTCAAGTACTCTAACATTCGATAACACATTACGACCTGAATTAGATGCATTTTCCCGCGATAACGACTATCTTGCTACTGTACCAGGCGCTTACATGCGACTGATACAGGTATCTCAGGTGTCCACGACCTACAGTGACCCCCCACCCCCACGCTCCATGTAGGTGCCTCCAGTAGTACTGAATGAGCATTCCTTGTACTTCGGGGCCACGTGTTGGAGGTCTTGGTGATTACCTCTACCAGAGATCTGGCAGGTTTCTGGGCTGGATTCCACAATGGCAGGTTTCTGGGCTGGATTCCACAATGGCAGGTTTCAGGGCTGGATTCCACAATGGCAGGTTTCTGGGCTAGATTCCACAATGGCAGGTTTCTGGGCTGGATTCCACAATGGCAGGTTTCTGGACTGGATTCCACAATGGCAGGTTTCTGGGCTGGATTCCACAATGGCAGGTTTCTGGGCTGGATTCCACAATGGCAGGTTTCTGGGCTGGATTCCACAATACAGGTTTCTGGGCTGGATTCCACAATGGCAGATTTCTGGACTGGATTCCACAATGACAGGTTTCTGGGCTGGATTCCACAATAGCAGGTTTCTGGGCTGGATTCCACAATAGCAGGTTTCTGGACTGGATTCCACAATAGCAGGTTTCTGGGCTGGATTCCACAATGGCAGGTTTCTGGGCTGGATTCCACAATGGCAGGTTTCTGGGCTGGATTCCACAATACAGGTTTCTGGGCTGGATTCCACAATGGCAGATTTCTGGACTGGATTCCACAATGGCAGGTTTCTGGGCTGGATTCCACAATAGCAGGTTTCTGGGCTGGATTCCACAATAGCAGGTTTCTGGACTGGATTCCACAATAGCAGGTTTCTGGGCTGGATTCCACAATAGCAGGTTTCTGGGCTGGATTCCACAATAGCAGGTTTCAGGGCTGGATTCCACAATGGCAGGTTTCTGGGCTGGATTCCACAATGGCAGGTTTCAGGGCTGGATTCCACAATGGCAGATTTCTGGACTGGATTCCACAATGGCAGGTTTCTGGGCTGGATTCTACAATGGCAGGTTTCTGGACTGGATTCCACGAAGGACTGGAAACGGATCACTAACCTAACCTGTCATAACCTACAGACACCTGGGTTAGTCACCCAGGATAACCCAGGGTAGGGAGAGTTAGCCACCAAGGATAACCCGGGGTAGGGAGAGTCACCCAGGATAACCCGGGGTAGGGAGGGTTAGCTACCCAGGATAACCCGGGGTAGGGAGGGTTAACCACCCAGGATAACCCAGGGTAGGGAGGGTTAGCCACCCAGGATAACCCAGGGTAGGGAGGGTTAGCCACCCAGGAAAACCCGGGGTAGGGAGGGTTACCCACCCAGGATAACCCAGGGTAGGGAGGGTCAGCCACCCAGGATAACCCAGGGTAGGGAGGGTCAGCCACCCAGGATAACCCGGGGTAGGGAGAGTTAGCCACCCAGGATAACCCGGGGTAGGGAGGGTTAGCCACCCAGGATAACCCAGGGTAGGGAGGGTTAGCTACCCAGGATAAGCCAGGGTAGGGAGGGTTAACCACCCAGGATAGCCCAGGGTAGGGAGAGTTAGCCACCCAGGATAACCCAGGATAGGGAGAGTTAGCCACCCAGGATAACCCAGGGTAGGGAGAGTTAGCCACCCAGGATAACCCAGGGTAGGGAGGGTTAGCCACCCAGGATAACCCAGAGTAGGGAGGGTTAGCCACCCAGGATAACCCAGGGTAGGGAGAGTTAGCCACCCAGGATAACCCAGGGTAGGGAGGGTTAGCCACCCAGGATAACCCAGAGTAGGGAGGGTTAGCCACCCAGGATAACCCAGGGTAGGGAGGGTTAGCCACCCAGGATAACCCAGGGTAGGGAGGGTTAGCCACCCAGGATAACCCAGGGTAGGGAGAGTTAGCCACCCAGGATAACCCAGGGTAGGGAGGGTTAGCCACCCAGGATAACCCAGGGTAGGGAGGGTTAGCCACCCAGGATAACCCAGGGTAGGGAGAGTTAGCCACCCAGGATAACCCAGGGTAAGGAGGGTTAGCCACCCAGGATAACCCAGGGTAGGGAGGGTTATCTACCCAGGATAACCCAGGGTAGGGAGGGTTAGCCACCCAGGATAACCCGGGTAGGGAGGGTTAGCCACCCAGGATAACCCGGGGTAGGGAGGGTTAGCCACCCAGGATAACCCAGGGTAGGGAGGGTCAGCCACCCAGGATAACCCGGGGTAGGGAGAGTTAGCCACCCAGGATAACCCGGATTAGGGAGGGTTAGCCACCCAGTATAACCCGGGGTAGGGAGGGTTAGCCACCCAGGATAACCCGGGGTAGGGAGGGTTAGCCACCCAGGATAACCCAGGGTAGGGAGGGTTAGCCACCCAGGATAAGCCAGGGTAGGGAGGATTAGCCACCCAGGATAGCCCAGGCTAGGGAGAGTTAGCCACCCAGGATAACCCAGGATAGGGAGAGTTAGCCACCCAGGATAAGCCAGGGTAGGGAGAGTTAGCCACCCAGGATAACCCAGGGTAGGGAGGGTTAGCCACCCAGGATAAGCCAGGGTAGGGAGGGTTAGCCACCTAGGATAACCCAGGGTAGGGAGAGTTAGCCACCCAGGATAACCCAGGGTAGGGAGGGTTAGCCACCTAGGATAACCCAGGGTAGGGAGAGTTAGCCACCCAGGATAACCCAGGGTAGGGAGAGTTAGCCACCCAGGATAACCCAGGGTAGGGAGGGTTAGCCACCCAGGATAACCCAGGGTAGGGAGGGTTAGCCACCCAGGATAACCCAGGGTAGGGAGGGTTAGCCACCCAGGATAAGCCAGGGTAGGGAGGGTTAG